TTTATGGATTCATAATTGGCGTATTCTTCCTTTACAGGGATTTGTCCAATAACAATTTGAGTGGACCTCTGCCACCATCAATGGAAAATTTGGCTAGTCTAACCACTCTGTGAGTTCTCCTTTCAGAATGGTAATGTTAACTGAATGAACAAGAAAGCTAACTGTCTCAGTTGGCAGACGTTTGCAGGCCAATCATCTGTCTGGGACGCTAGATGTTTTACAAGATCTTCCCCTAAGAGATTTGTACTTTTCTCTACCCTTCCATTTGCATTTTTAGAATCAATGTTTCTTACTAAATTCTTTTAAGTTACAAGAACCAGTTTTGAATGGTTTTAGAAGCTTCTTGGAGGAATCTTGGCTAACATTCTTCATTCTCTTCTGGACAGGAACATAGAGAATAACCTATTCAACGGACCCATTCCTGCGAAGATGCTGAGCATCCCAAGCTTCAAGTAAGCCCTGTACTATCATTACCTTTGAAGAGTTTAATCTTTAGTTGCCAATTTTAAGCAAGCACACATTATTAAAGTTCTTGTTTGGTGCACATCCAATGCCATAGATACTGACGCTAGCTATGTTTGTAAGCTTACTTATCATTTGAGAAATACCAATAAGAGCAATTATTTTAAAATTTTAAAATCTGGATGATGGATCTATGCACCTTTATCAACATTCCTTTTGACATTTTATATTGTTTAATCTCTCATGCTTTTGGTATGAAGTATGTAATCAAATATAAGAAAAAGTTACAAAATAAAAAAAACTGAGCATATTTATTTCTGCACTCATCCGAATTTGATTAACATAAAAAGTCTCCAAATTTTTGTATAGCTTATAAACAAAATCTAATCTTCGTTTGTTGATGGATTTTGCCCTGCATTTTCTTAAGAGCTTCTTTCCATATATACGCATACAAAATCAATTTTACTGTTTGTATACTTCTTCATGTTACTTGTATGTTTTTTATGTTCAAATTCTCTTCACAGGAACGATGGGAACCCATTTAATTCCACTGTTGCTCCATTGCCTGGTCCCACTCCCACATCACCATTAGCACCACCGCGTTCGCCTCCACGTTCTGAAGTACCAACTTCTGGTCAAACACCAACATCTGATCAAACACCCGGGAAACATGCCGACGGGCCTTCTGCGTCCGAGGGATCTACTTCTACAGTGAAGAAGAATGTCTTTACTACTAAAAGGGTGGTGTGGATATCAATTGCAGGTGTTTTGTTGTTTATAATATTAGCGTTAGCACTTCTGCTTTTTATGCCAAAGTGTAGACGAAGAAGGGAAGATGCTGGTGGGGCTTTCAAACGGCGTCAAGTAGGAGCATATAGAGGAAACCGGGAGAGCCTTGTTGGGGATGGATCCTTGCCCACCACAACCAGTCAAACAGAGAAAGGCAAATGACTTTGCTTTTACTCATTTTCAATTTGGATAATAGACTGTTTGCTATTATTGTCCGGTTTCAATCACTTGAGCACTAATAGTTTTTGAAACTTTATGAACAGGCCCGAAAGAGGCAGTTACAAGACCAGTGGGAGGTAATCAAATAGAGAGGGGAAGCATGGGGGCGCTAGCAAAGCCACAGAACAAGGAAGAAAGAAATGTGGAAAGGATAGGCACAACGCCAAAGAGACTTGACCATGAGATAGACATGAGTAGGATGACTAGCTTCGATATGATGATGATGGAGCCCCCTCCACCACCACCACCACCACCTCCTCCACCCCCACCCCGTCCTGTACAACTTTCTGAGAAGGTCATTGTGAAACCCATTGTGCCTGATGAAGTAACTGCAAGGCCTTCTGCCAAAACTCCAAAGACATCTACATTTGCGAAATCTTTCACCATTGCAGCCCTTCAGCAATATACGAATAGCTTTTCTCAAGAAAATCTTTTAGGGGGTGGCATGCTTGGAAGTGTCTATAGGGCAGAACTTCCGGATGGGAAGGTAGAATTGTTGATTTTAAACTGATTTGATTTCGTTAGAAGCATGGTCCCATTAATTAGTTTTCTCCAAGAATTTATTGTGTCATAGGCTTGCTATTGGATGATAAAAATTACGATGATAGACCTAACACCTTTCGAGTTAACATGAGCTGGTAAATATAGATCTGAGGCATCATAACCTATTGCTAGTCAGTTTTATAAATTCTAATTCCAACTTTTCATCCCAGCTCCTTCATTTGCTTAACCCTGTTTTACACATCTGCATGTATGCACAAGTTGCACTTGGGCATGGTGCTATAGCTTATAAAGACCTTTTAAATGGTATAAATGAATCAAGCACCTTCAGATTCTGATGCATGATTTTCTTGTACGCATTTGTAGCTGCTTTCCATCAAGAAACTGGAGAAGAGAGTTGCAAGTCATCAAAAGGATGATGAATTTATTGAACTGGTAGAAAATATTGATCGAATCCAGCATGTGAATATTGTCAGGCTCATGGGTTACTGTGCAGAGCATGGTCAAAAGCTTTTGATCTATGAGTATTGCAGCAATGGATCACTGCAGGATGCGCTGCACTCTGATGATGAGTTTAGAAAGAAGCTTTCATGGAATGCCCGTGTTCGGATGGCTCTTGGAGCTGCTAGAGCCTTAGAGTAAGTGGTCTGGCGTTGTTTCTTTCTATTCTAGTATGTCCAGCTTTAGAATTTCAATTGGTTGCTTCTGTGGTTGGAGTCTTTGTATAGGTAGATTCAGGTATAATCAGTTACATTGTGCAAATGCTTGAGCATGATGCTATTAAGGAGTTACATTAAGAAATTGAAGCTGGTTAGAGCTAACTGCGCTTGTTTATGGAGACTAAAACTGTAAAAACAATAAATCTAAGTTAATAATGGGGTGTAAAATAAAGTATTTATGTCAGGTCAAAAGGTAGCAGTGAAAACTGCAGTTGGGAGGTTCTGTGATGAATCTTTTTTTCTTTTTGCAAGTGACCTTTCAGTTCCAATTAGCTTTATGCTGGACAGAAAAAAATTGCATTTTTAGGTACCTGTCAATTTTCATCAAGAAATAGGAGAAGAAAAAAACACGTGCATTTCTTAGATATTCATATTGACATAACTAAACAGATATACGTTCATGGTTTCTTCCTGCTTGAGACACAAACACTATTCATTTTTAGTGCACACTATTTCAGTCCTAATTTTCTTGTTTTATATGAAAAGGTATATGCATGAGGCTTGCCAGCCACCTATTGTACACAGAAATTTCAAGTCTGCCAATGTTCTACTCGACGATGATCTCGATGTGCGAGTCTCTGATTGTGGTTTGGCTCCATTAATAGCATCGGGTTCTGTAAGTCAGGTAGGTTTGAGCTTGTCATCATCTTATTGTTGACTTCTTGAACATGATAAATTGGTAAAGCTTAAAACTTTAATTGGCTTCTCTATAGTTTTCATATTCTTATTAATTAGTTGAACGAAAAAAAAAGATGACAACAATTTTCTGGGTAAAATAATTTTGAGGAAAATAATTTGCCTGACTCGGAAATATTGTTAAACAGCAGTGAGTCTGAAGTATTGTTTAACAGTTTTCAATTGTCTGGTGCCCCTATATCTGGGAGAGGAAACTTTACTGTTAAAACGCCTAATAGCATTAGTAAAAAGTGTGGCTGACCTTTATACTAACATTTCTTTACCTAAAACTGGTCCACTTTCAGTTGTCAGGACAACTACAATCAATTTATGGTTATGGAGCGCCAGAATTTGAGTCTGGAATTTATACTTCTCAGAGTGATGTCTACAGTTTTGGTGTATTTATGTTGGAGCTCTTAACTGGCAGGAAATCGTATGACAGGTAAATGGTGAAACCTTGCTGAAGTTATCATTTAGTGTCCACTTGAGATAATCTGGTTAATTTGATTTTGTTGAAAATGTTATTCAGGAATAGGAGTAGAGGTGAACAATTTCTAGTGAGATGGGCAGTCCCACAGCTCCATGATATCGAAGCGTTATCTAGAATGGTTGACCCATCTCTCAATGGAGAATATCCTGCTAAAGCGTTGTCACGCTTTGCCGATATCATTTCTCGATGTGTCCAGGTGAGAATAGCATCGTTAATATGTTATCTGTGTTTGTGCACACACATAACTATATGCTATATAAGCATATGTAATTTGGACTGTGGCATTCTCTTCCTCATAGTACAAGTATTATTTATGTGTTCCTGTCTAACCACGATTTCATTTTGCAGTCTGAACCGGAATTCAGGCCACCGATGTCTGAAGTCGTTCAAGATCTATTGGACATCATACGCAGGGAGCGTCCGAGTAACGAATCAATTGGAGACTGACTTGTATTAGGCAATAAACCTGATGAATTAGGTTATGAAAGGAAGTCGCAGTAATTTGATCCGTCAGACGTTGATCGGAGAAAATACATCCATTGTTAAAGGGGCAGCAAGTGAATACTCCTACTATCGTGCAACCAAGCTTGATCCTAAGCTCTTGCGAAAGAGGAGTTATTAAGGTCGTCATGTAGGAATCCCATTGCTGTGACTAGGAACAGTGAAATTTTCGGGTATGTTACTTTTTAATCATTCTATTGTTCATTAAAATCATGTAATGAAGACATAGATATGCTAACCATTTGTTTCATGATACACTATTTATTTTGTTACTAATTATGATTTATGATTTTGTTCCCATTTCATTTTGTTTTTCCTTGAATAGATCATTTGTGAACAACATATGCTCATATTCTGGAATAGATCATTTGAAACATAAGTATTGCCCATGATTTTAATTTTAGCGGATATCGTTATGTGATATAAAATTTTGAATTTTGCTTTGACAGATTCGGGTATTCGATTGATAATATTTAATTTGAATTTAGATTCGAATAATAATAACCGGATAACGCAGACGAAAAGTGGATTCAGATTTTTTGATGTCTAAACGCACTGCACAGTGACAACTTTTGCATCCAAATGGAGACTAAATCTTCAAGAACTCAATTGGAGGAACAGCAGCTGTCAAAAATGTTGGACAAATACATTCCCGATTTCATGAACTTTGAACCAGTTTAAATTGACCCGCACTGATTAGTTCTCACCATGGGATGAGATCCCTTGAGCACAGAACATTGTTATCTTCAAGGCATATCCGTACCAGCCACATCAAGGTAAGAATCCATTTTACTGGTTGTCTCAACCCAGCTTGTGCCCTTAATCTTCTTCACTCCTCTGTCTTCCATTAGCTTCCTAACCTTTATAGCATCGTTCCATCTTCCAACTGCTCTATAAGTATTCGCTAGGAGAACGTAATTCATATGATTGTCGGGATCTAGTTCAATCATTTTCTGACCAATCCGCTCTGCGGTACTGGAACTTGCACTGGTTGTGCAAGAGCCAAGAAGAACAGCCCAAACGGATGAATCATCTCTACACCATGCACTCTCTATCAAGTTTTCAGCTTCTTCAAGTAATTCAGCGCGACCCAAGAGGTCAACCATGCAATTGTAATGTTCGATTCCGGGTTTAATCCCGTATTCACCGGTCATTAAGTTAAAATAATGTCGGCCTTGATCTACCAAGCCAGAATGACTGCAAGCAAAAAGAACACCGATGAAACTAATATGGTCAGGCTTAATGCCCTCCTTGATCATCTCATCAAATATACTTAGAGCTTCCTCACCTCTTCCATTCTGAGCAAACCCGTAGATCATCGAGTTCCATGTTATCAGATTTCTATTAGACATCTGCACAAAGATCTGATGTGCAAAATCAATACAACCACATTTTGCGTAGAGATCGACTAAGGCCGACTCTACAACAACATCTCTCCAACCACCCCTTCTCACATACTGGCAGTGAATTTCTTTCCCTTGTCTTACAGCGGCCAAACCTGCACACGCACGGAGAATAGTTCCAAAACAATAGAGATCAGATTCATCCATTTCCCTGAATACTCTAATGACAGATTCGTAGTCTTTATTGTGACAGTAAACACCAAGCAATGCAGACCAAGAAACTGAATTCCTTTTCGACATCCTATGGAAAACGCGCCAAGACTCATCAACCAGTCGACACTTTCCGTACATGTCGAGAAGACTGCTCTCAACAACCACATTTCCACAAAGTCCATAGGTAATGACCTTAGCATGCACTTGCTTCCCTTGTCTCGACCTCCCTAAATTCCCACAAGCTGTCAATACCGTCCCGAATGTAAATCCATCAGGGCTCAACCCATTATTCCTTTGCATAAAATAAAAGAACCGCAATGCTTCTGCATGCAAATCGTTCCTCGTGAGAGCAGAAATAATAGAAGTCCAACAAATAGCATCCGGGTCAGGCAATTCATCGAACAACTGGCACGCTTCATTCGGCTGCCAATTCCTCCCATAAAAATCAATCAACGCACACGAAACCACACGATTTGAGTCAAAACCACTTTTTATAACCACCCCATGTAAGCACCATCCCAGCCTCGACTTCCCAAGAATCGAACACACCTTGATTATAGAAGATATGGTGAAGGCATTCGGCTCAACTCCCAAACCCACCATTTCCGAAAACAATTCAAGGGAACACTCAGGTTTACCCGCTTTAATATACCCAGAAACCATTGAAGTCCACGAAATAACATCTTTAACAAACAAACCATCGAAAACTCTCCGAGTATCTCTTAAATCAGGACCCAACTTAAAATACAGAGCAAGCAAACTATTACCCACAAAACGATCCGTCTCGAGACCAGATTTAATCACGTGGGCATGGAATTGAAGCCCGTGAAGGAAAGCTTGAACATTTGTGCAAGTTTGCAATAGGGAAGCATATAGTAATGGTTTATTGGAAGGGGTTGTTTGGGTAGGAACATGTAGAGTGTTTAAGAGATGCATTGCAGGGAACAGTTGAGCTGACCTGCAAAATTGGAGGATTTGGAAATATATATCCGATGGGTATTTGATGGAGTTTTCGGGATTTAAACAAGCCAAAGAGCAGCTACCGCGTTTAACGAAGAAGAGCTTCATCAAATTGACTTCTTTTTAAGGCTCCTTATTGGTACTTTTGAAGCTGTTAAAATTCACCCGCCCTTTTCGCATTCATATTTCCCAATGCAAATACCTTGTGAAATGCAGTACTGGCTCTCCATATTATGTAAGCCCTTCAAGTTTTTTCTTTATACTTAAATAAGAATATAATGTCTGTAAGTATTTTTAAATAATGATTTAATGTTTTTGAATTTGTTTAAATGACAGTTTCATTTGAAATTATTTTTTAAAATATCATATCTTTATTTGAGTATATTTAAAATTATTAGATGTGATTATTAGATTGACCTGGGTCGAATAAAAATTATTAATTAGTTAAATTTATGAGTATTAATTTATCATTGAAATTTTATTTAAGTTTTTTAAAAATCAAATTAAATATATGTTTTAAATTTTTTGTATAAAATTATTTAAAAAAATAAGAATTAAAATTACACGCCAGTACAAACAGAGATTTAAATTAATTTTCCAATTATATTTTTTTGTCGCGTTTGTTTATCACGATTGCGGGTATAACAAATGTTATTACGGTTACTGTGAGTATTTCGGTCGTGAATTCTTTTTAAATTCACACGACTTATTATAAAACATAACGTCTATAACTATAAAAATATTATTAGTGATTTTTAGAATGTTTTCTAATATTTATTATATTTTTGTTGATTTTTTTAAAGAAATTAATTATTTTTTTTTTAAATTTTATCATAATGAAATAATAATATTAAAAATACCTTACGGCATGAGCTATTGGATTGCAACGAACCACTGTCGCAGACATGGCTGATGAAGCAGGAAACTGGATTTGGCCTCGGTTTGAGCACATGCTGCCAACGGATATACTTTTGAAAATAGCAGCAAAAAAAGGACCAACGCAGCAGCTTGAAAATGACAAAATAGGATGGAGTCCAAGAGAGGATCGTCTCTTTTCTGTGAAATCAGCATATGAAACCCGAAAACAACATACTGAAGGAAAGAATCGAGTAATGACAAATGCGGAAAGGAAGAGTCGACGCATCACAGGAAATAGTAGCTGCCCGGTATGCTTTGCGCCAGTGGAAGACACAAATCATTTACTGCGTACATGTCCCTCGGCAGTGACAATCTGGTCGGCAGTTGTCAAAAAAGAAAAGCTACAGGATTTTCTAGAAATGGAGACATCTTCATGGCGAAGCTTAAATCTCGGTAAACCACGAGAATTTGTAGGAGCGGTGGAACATTGGGACATAATGTTCGGGGCAATAGTAGTTGGTAATGTTCAATCCCACGTAGTATTGAAAATATTATTGAGAATGGGTATTTATGGTTTGGATTTCCCAGTTCCTTGTTAAGTGAAATAGAACAAAGGGACTCTCGTGCATCGCCGCCGCCGCCGTCCGTCTCATCTCGTCTCGGCTCGTAGTCGTGGTTAGAGATTTCAACTGATATTTATAGGCTGTTGAGGATTGTTTAAATTTAAATGGCAACAGCTGATTTATGAGAGTTATTAGAAATTAAACAGTTTTTTCTAAATTAAATCAAAAACGTTAAAATGTATCTAGACTGATTTTCAGCTTTGTACAAAGGGGACAAGCTGTTAATATCAGAAGTTATAGGAGTTGTTTGATTTAATTCCAGGGGTTACATGATATAATTTCGGGAGTTATAACAGCTGAATAATGATGCAATGAACATGGACTATTTTTGAGTCAGGTTTATCTAGACGTTTCAGCTGTTACAAAAGAAGAGATTTAATCCTGAAATTTTATGGACGATTTTAATACTATTTCTAGCCTATAAATAGAGAGCTATATTCAGTTTCTCAACACACTCTCAACATTCAGAATTCACTCTCCAAGTGTTTTCTAAATATTATCTGTGTGTGCTTTCTGATAAGAAGAGCAACACCACCGGCAGTCCACTCCGATTTCGGGTGTACGGAATTCGGAGCGACCGTGATAACCTCGGGGGGCGGTCCGCCTATTGCAGCGATTACACACATCGAGACGAATTCGTTTCTAAGACGGTGGTTATACCATAACATGATTTACGAATCTGCTCCTTTTAATTACTGTTTATATTTCTAGTCAGTGCTAACCGTGTAGTTTTGCAGTCTATTTTACCAACAATAGTATGGAATATATGGTTACATAGGAACTCCATAGCTTTTGACACACCTCCAGAAGACAGAAGAACGATGTTGGAGCGAAGCAGATACCTTTGGGTAAATACATGTAAAGCAATAGAATCAAAAGAACATTTAAGGGGAGCCCACACTCAACAAATAGTAAGATTAATATATTGGAAGCGACCACCTGAAGGTAGGTTGAAAATTAATTCGGATGGAGCCAGAGATATGAGAACAGGAAGAGCATCGTGCGGGGGAATCATTAGAAACCATGAAAGAGCATGGATGATGGGGTTCACTAAATTCATAAGTACCTGTTCAGTCCTAGAAGCAGAAATTAAGGTAATTATAGAAGTGGATAGCTTGGAAGCCATAAAGACCATCAAAGCAGCAGAGAACGGACAGACTTGGATAACAATGGTGCAACACATAATGCTATTCTTGAAGGAGGATTGGACTGTAAGATTCGAACATGTCCCTAGAGAAGGAAATAGAGCAGCAGATTGCTTAGCAAAATTAGCAGATATGACAAATCAAGAATGTCTAGAGTTTTCCAACCCGCTGGAAAGGGTGCAGAGTATTTTACAGGAAGATTTATATGGAGATAATCATAGTTAAAATATTAGGCAAATATAATTGAATGGCGTTGGCCTAGTCTTAGAATATTACTTCAACAGTTAGTTTCCATTCATTACCAAAAAAAAATATTAAAAATAAAGACATGTTATTATCTTAATTAACAATTACCTGTTAAATTACGATCACCATCTATTGTTATTAAAAGATAAAAGGGTACTTGAGGCCATTATACTTTTCGGGGGAAATTGATATGGCCTTTGAATTATTTTTACACTCAGTGACCCTTAAACTTAAAAAAAAAACTCAATGTAACCCTTTGATAAATAATATTCATCGTTAACCGTTACAATATTAATATGATATTTTATAGTATTGATGTGAAGGTCCATAACGACTAGTGATGTGGGCCTTAACTTCAGTCAAAGATAAACTTTTGTTGTTGATAGGATATTTGGCAATCAACCAGGAAGATACCAATCTTTTGGCTATTACGGTTGTGAAGAAAGGTAGGCAAGACTCTGGCATAGCATTCGCTATAATTTTTAAATCCCGTAGTTATATACTGTTGTATGGAACTCAAACTCCATATTTTTGCAATCAACATGAACTCCAGTTCCTCAATTTTAAACACTCTGGTTTCATGGATTTTAATATGCATATCTCTTAGTTTCTTATTTAATGAGAATACTATTCGACTATATTTCCCAAATAAACAAAATGCTTTTAAACAGTAATCTAAACTTCCAAACTGATTTGTTCCAAGAATTCTTGTCGCAGCCGTTTACTTTGTTTTGTCTTAAGAAAAAGTTGACGACGGTTGTAATAAATCTAAATAGAAACCAATGCCGTTTACTGTAAAATTAAATTAAGACACGTGTCATAAAAGTATTGGCGGGGCACAGTTAGGAGCATATTTTCGGGACATAAGATTTTTATTCGAATACGAATGACCTTAAAATCAGCAAAGACAAATCATCCGTTGCCTCAACCAATTAGTTATTGCTTACTACGCCTACAACCTCACCCTATCTCTTCCATCTCTATACGTGTACGGTTCAAATCCACCTACACTACACCTGCACAGGCCTACTGGTAACACTTAAACATCGAGCTACTTTTTGCCCATACTCCTGAATGAAATAGTCAAATTCAAACACCCAAAGTTGATCGGCCTTTAACCCTCCCCTCTCTCACCTATATATATCTGCGCCCTGTAACTTCCTTTAATCATTAACAGCCAAGTGTTAACTATTACAGCCCACTGTTGTTCAAAAGAATTATACATTCTGGTCGGAGAAGCTAAAAACAAGAGAAGAGGAAGAAGACAAAATCATGGTATGTTTCTGTTTTCTGGTTGATCAGACAAAGGAAATGAGCAAAAGTAAGCCGGCGGCAGGGTTCTGCTCGAGGTGCGGTGGAGGGGCCAGTGTAGCCGATATGAAAACTCGTACCCGGTTTTGCTACGTCCCCTTCTACTGGAAATCTTGGAAGGCTATTGTATGCACTTTTTGTGGCGCCATTCTTCGATCTTACCGTTGAATGAATATCCGTGGGGGGTACCCGCTTTTCTTCTTCTGACTGACCCTTTGACAAGGGTCTAACAGCGAATTAGAGACGGATGATATGTATGATCTTCATTCTTTAATATTTAGTTCCAGGAAAACAACGCGTTTGTTGCAGATTTCTGCTTTGTAGTTTGTACACTTACTGTTAATGAAAATTAATATTTCTGTTAATATTGTAGTTTGTTACAGATTATTATGGCTTTCGTACCTAATTACCTTGGACAACACAACTTGGGCGGTTAGAACGTGAGGTTTCAAAGGAATCATTAATGAAAAGAGAGACAAAAAATGCAAGTTGATTCAGGAACCGACCATGTTCAATGGCCTGCTTCAATGCCCTGCCATGTTGGGAACTCAACTCTAGTGGCTGTTGTGATCCAATGTAAGAATGCATTAAGAGAAAACCCAAGGAGCATGAATGTATTTATCTAGCAGTTGGTTAGGAGGTTAAGTCACACCATTCTAGCAACCTACCTAGCTCACACTTTATCTCTCTCTCCCTCTCTTTCTATGTAAATAAAATTGGTATTTAAACAAGATTATTGTTCTCCCTTGAGTGTCTAGGTTCTAACAGCTGTATATGTATGATGTGTGTGCGCCATCAATAGTTAAGAAATATTATGAACAAATATTATCTTATAATCATCTTAAATTATTAAAAAACACAAATTCAAATGTTAAAGACGATAGACGATATTATTAAGTCGGATAATTTTAAATCTTGACATGAGTTATGAAACGGATATGAAGGGAATAACAGTTGAAGACATTAATGACATGGGTGTTGTGCAAAATTATATGATGTGCATGTGAGAAAGAAGAGCATAAGGGGGCGTTTTGGCTTTGTTTTTTGTTGCAGTGAAAAGCTCACTTCTGTAATTATAGAAGACAAAACTAGCTGCTCATATTGAATTCTGAAGGTAAATGCAATGACAGAGGCAACTAAATGCTAATAAATATTACAGCGTTTAAATTTTTTATTATTTTTCAGGTTCACGGAATGGTCCCCATAAGGTTACTTCCCCTCTGATTTAGTTGTTTTACACTGGTTATGTAAATTTGATCGATCTATAGATCATATATCGGTAATTAACTTAAAAAATAATTTAACTTTTATTAATTTAAAAAAAAAGTAATTTAAGATAATTAATTACGATTTCTCTTCTTCTTTTTCCCCTCCACCCTAAATCTAGGGGGAGTGCCATTTCGGTGGGATCAATTGAGACTGGCGCATAGGCAGAATGTAGCAATGAATGCATCTGTTTATATCCATGGATATGAATGGCAACATATAGTTTACAGTATTTAAGAACAATATGATATTTCATTCACCTGAGTTTATGTTAAACTTGATTTATATATATTTGATAAAGAACTTCATCAACTTTCATGGAAAATTATCATCTTTAACTATAAAAAAAAAGTAAATCTTATCTGATGTTATCTTATAGTGAAGTTGACTGGTCCCATCCGTGACTTGACCGAAGAGCAGAGTCAGCGTCTGTGTGTATATATATATATATATTGTTGGGAAATGAAGATGGAGAAGAAGTCAACTGTATAAAAAAATGTTGAAAAGCAAAATAAGCAACCCCAAGGGGAAGGCAATGCAGCCGGTGAAGAGTGTTGCCCCATGCTTACATGTCTGATGAGTTGAAGCGCAGCAATGAATGAGAGAGAGTTGACTTGAAGGGTGCTTTATTCTTACACAAACCCTTCTGACTTCTTCCAACCAACTTGTGATCTTGTCTCTCGCACTTTCCTTATGCATGCCACCCTTTTTTAATTACTACACGCTCAATCTTGTTGGAAATCAGGTAGCTGCTGCTTAAACAAGATGTTAACCGTATTCAATATTCTGAGGTCGGCTGTGCTGTGGCGGTGTTTAAGGTTGGCGGTTGCCGCCACTTGAATTGCAAGGATTGTTGCCGCTGTGGCTGCCGCACTAACCAAAACTGCCATCAACCTTTCAACTATACATATATATTGGGGGGTGAAATCCCAAAATTTTAAATACTTGTAAGAATAAAACACCCTTCAAGTCCATCCTTAAAATTTAAATTAGTGTAAAGATTTAGATTAGTATAAGAATAAAATACCCTTCAATTTAAATTAGAAAAAGCTAATTTATTATATATAAATAGTTGAACAGTTATTTTTTATTAATTTTTTTATACAAATGATCAAATTACTGATTCTCTCACCAATTATTTAAAGATAAACTTTAACAAAGTTGCCAATAATAGACTAGCTTGAATACCTAGTCTTATAAACTAACGTAAGAGAGATACACTTCTTAAATTTTCCGTAAAGTAGAGCGAAAATTAAAATCAAAATAAGACCAATAATTAATTATTACACCTTGATATTTGTATTTATTTATGAAAAAGAAAATGGTAAACAAACTAGTGTTGCTGCCTAATAGATTAGTAGGAATGGCAAAAGAGTACCCGCCCCGCATCCTCCTGCCTAGTTAAATATCCATTAAATTTTGGATTATTATGAATTTAGGTGTAATTTTAGAGACTAATTTATAAATACTAATATTTTATAAGATATAACTTGTAATTTAACCAAATATTAAGAATACGTTTATGCATTTGTGTTAATGTGAGGTATATGAATTTAATATTCATTTCATCGGTTTGATGATACAGCTTGCATTTGTCGTCTACAAAGAGGGCAATTTAGCAGTCATCGTGATGGGTTTGATTGCATCTGTAGTTCACATTACCAGTTTACCGACTTTCATCTAGTTTATGAGGTTGTTAAGATTCTCTGTCAAACCTGAAAGACATGGAGTACCCACTTTAGTTTTCATCTTCACAAATAGTACATGTTTCAATTCGAACTTCATTGTATTACTCCATCTTCAAAATTAGCATGATTTTACTACCATATTGTTCTAATAATCTTGAACTTAGGCTAGAAGTATTTCTACTTTGTGAGATATAGTACTATATAAAAGCCAATAACTTTCCTAACCTGCTTATAAGAAGTATTTTTTTCTACTTTATATAGGAGACATTCTTGTCCGATTTAAGAGATTTGCAGCTTGAACTCTGCATTACAACAGCATATGGGAATATTTTACTCACCAAGTTTCTCAACATTCCACCATTAGGTTAGTCCATGATGGTTTTGTTAACGAATTTGGAGTTTTTTTTTTTGTTTCTGCTTATTTGTCATGTCTATGTTTGTGTTTACCTAATGTTTGTTCTCAAGTTAACAAACACTGCAACTATTTTTTCTTGCAACTTATAATGGTAAGTTGATCTTTATAATGTGATCTTTACGGATTCACCTTTCCACCAAATGTTAGACTTATAGTTCTTTTCCTGGAACAATATCTCACATTAGGAAAGTACATGAGTAGACCACTTATTTGACATTATAAATAAAAGGAAGCTACATTCTTTTAACATATTTACCTGGATGAGGTCAATGGACAATAATCAAGGTTCATGGCCTAGGTAAGCGACCTCCATTGCAATTGGGAGGGGCGCTCGCCTAAGATTTTTTCACTGTAGGAGATCCTACGTTATAATTTGTGGTAGTTAATGAGTTTGTGCTTGCATCGAGCTCAAAATCGAGCTTCAATTGAACTCTTGAAATTTTTTTGAGTTCAAATTGAACTCGATAATTTTTAGCTCGCGAGTTTTTTAGTCGAGTCGAGCCTACTTTTAAAGTTTTCGAGTTCGAGGTGAACTCAACAATATTTTAGCTCGACTCGATAGGTGTGAGAATAAATTTAAAAATGTACCCGCGTGGACGGGAGTGGATATAAAATTTTTTGCCCATTATAGGTGGTGAGCGGGTGATGAATTAAAAAATATTAAATGAGTATGAGAATGGATATCCGCACCCGACCCTCCCGTTTGCCATCCTTATAGACTAGTTTCTCCAACACTGCTAGCATTAATTATTATGATACGATTTTACTAAATAAATTGCTGCATCATTTGAAAAAAAAGAATAAAAATAATTATTGAGGAATTAATTAAAAATTACGGATAAAACCCGTCCTCTTATTATTAAAAGATAAAAACCATGAAAACTTAGCTTACAGCCCAGCGTTGAGATTGAGAAATATGAAGTCGTCAATGCATACGTCCGGACTTTGATTAGTGAGAAAAAGAAACAAAATAGCAGAGCAGATATGAAAGCAGGGATCAAGTTCAATTAAATTAAAAGTTTTAAAACCAGTCGATAAGCAGAGGGACTGGTAAATTTTTAAAAGTCTAATGGCACGAAACAGGAGAGAATCCAGCTCGCTTTCCTTCTTAAGTGGATGTGGGTTCAAACCAAAGCAGCAAATGAAGAGAACCCATCCTCTTCAAGCTTTGGCATTCCTAGTGAAGTCGGTGCAAGTTTGGCAACTGCAATCACCGAACCTACAGATTTCACACCCGAAGCACACACAGGATGTACAACCCTTGCACGTCGGAGAACGGGTGCAGCCCCTGTATACCCTGCGACTTGCTCGTTCTTCGTCATCATCGCATGTTATCCTGAAACCAAAATCTGATGTTGAAAACAAATTCATTTCGAGCTAAAGGTGTAATGTTGTCGACATAACATATTAGAGATGATTTGAGTATAAAGAAGATATTATCAATAGCCATCTCCGAGCCCTTTCGGAACTCTCTTCCTCCCTCCACATTCAATTCAAGAAAGAAAAGAACACGGCCCAGGACAGAGCCAGAAAATTTTATCAGTGAAACAAAACTAGCATATCAGGAAGACATCTACAAGCTTTCCTTGAGAAAGACACATCTCACAATCTAAGTGATACGAGAACATAGATAAATAGAATGACCATTTCACACAATGGAATTAGGCTTCAGTCAAACTGCCACACGGAACAGTAATGTTTATACCTCTCATTATGGCACAAGCAATACACAATGCCACACAATCGAGTGAAGCATTGTTATCAAACTGCCTAATGCAAATAACCAGGCATTGCGGTTGAACCAAAACTTTTCTCACATGCAGTACTAGATTTTTCACCAAAATTACTTATTGTTTTTCTCCACATTAAATCAACAGATATTAAAAACAAGGGTTAAATGCAAATATTAAAAACAAATTCAAAGCACAGATATTAAAAACAAGAAAGGGTTAAATGCAGATATTAAAAACAAGTTCAAAGCATAGTTCATAATGCAAGGAAAGAATGAATCAATCGTTAGTTTCCAGTAGCCATATATAAAGATGTCACGTGAAAAGGTTTCTTGATAGAAAAGTAATAGAAAACAGATAATGAAAAAAATGTTGGAATCAAAACGTATTTGCTACCACATGCATTACCTACAAAAACATTCCAAATTTTTAACAACTGAATTTTTTAGAGGTAGAAAAGAACCAAGTCAAATTTATCAAATAAGAAGTAGATCAATAATTGGGAGACAAACCTGTCATATGGAAGATCCGAACATTTCCAATTCACATCCGCTAAAGCATCATGGTGAATCCGACATTCCTCTTTCGTCCGCAATCGAAATCTTCTCTCCTTGTTACAACTGCTACAGCGAACAAACTCATCCCGATGACAAACTCTTCCATTAAGGGATCTGTTGGTACCATTGGCATTTTTAGATGCTTGGTTGTAGTATTTCAGCAATGCAGTCTTTGATAATGAGACCTTCTCTCCATTCACTATCACCCAAACGTTATTTTTCCACTTTCTAGCCGTCTCTCTTCCAGAATGCTTCTCAAACGCAGCAGGAGTCAACTTGTCTAACCATTGAAATTGACATTCACGCAATTAGAAAAGAAAAAATGAACAAAAAAAAAGTTTCCATACTTGTTAGTAAAATGCAAAAGGAACTACGACAATGTGAGTAAGTTGAAAAGATGGTATCATATGACCAGACACGGGAAGGTTCTAATAAACAGTGAAGGCGCAGACAACAGTACAGACAGCTTAAGCCAGTTTCAGTTATATTTAGTTGTAAGGAACCTGACTATATAGTGCTGCCACCAAATTCACCTTGCTCTTTTTACAAGCCCCAACATGACCAAACGTAAAACAGAAAATTGAAGTGTATAACTAAGTTTTCTTTTCGTTTGACATGGGTACTATTTCTTCTTTTATGAAAAAAGAGACAGTTTTCTAACATACCTAAGGTTCCTTCACATGCATATAATAGGCATGCAATCCACTCCTACCTAAAAATACTTTGAACAAGAAACATGTGTAACACTAATCACCGATCAAACTGTAAAAGTTGACAAATGTTTTAAGCTTTTATTTTGCCAAATTTGATTTCCTCAACAATACCGTGACAAAATTGGACGCAATATCATGGAGTTATATGCTGAAGCCTTAAAATAATAGAATCTGGCTAGTAGAAGTACTGTTCGAACCTCCAAGCCAAATTCGTACTACACTCACAGGTAGCATCATGTAAAGAAAAGCACATGCACAAAAAAAGAACGCAGGAAATAGGACGTTCGTCCCCCTATAGACATATAGATATCCTAGTAAAACAATGCATGAACATGCTTAAAAGGCAACCCTCCCAGTTACACTTCACAAATGACATGCCATCACAATGAACAAAAAACGTACGCAGAATCCATACGGACACATGTTTTCGCCATGAGTTTTACTCTGTCTAACGACAAGAAACAGAACTGAAAGTATGTAAAAACAGTTTCTTAAAAGATTACATCGAAGACCTTAGAATCACAACAATAGGCAATAAAATGAGGGTGTTATTCTGAAGATGAAACTCAGATCTTTGGCCAACAAATGAACAGACGGAGTAGTGTGTCAAAATATGCACAAAACACGACCTTGTTGTCTTACAACCAAGGAAAGCCAAGTCTTTGAGACAAAACAACATACACATAAACTGTGTCAATAAGGAACCAAAAAAAACCCCGAAAGGAGTCAAGCCTCCCACCATCCACTTCTCATTATATCAAAACCTCGATTAGATAAGAAAGCGACACCCTTCAACGTCAAATGCACCACCACAACTTGATCATAGCACGCATTAAATACCAACAAAAGAAAAATCAAAACCCATATTCCCAACAGCATCAAAGGAAGATAGATGAGAAGAAAGAAGGGCTAAAGGAAGAGATAGAGACAGAGAGACCTTCATTGCAACCAGGGGTGCATTCACAGGTGATTTCAAGGTCACCGTTAGAGAAAACCCTAAGCCTGCCAACGGCATCACCATATCTATGACTGGTACACCCACATGTCACTTCTATAAAATCTATTCCTTTCTTCAACCCACTCACCTCTATCAACTCCTCCTCGCTAAAGATCATCGACCCACTCTCTCTTTCTACTTCATTCTCCATTTTCTCTCTCTCTCTCTCTCTCTAGCAAGATCCCCCCCAGACGATATCAAACAAAACCAACACAGACGCACGCACGCTCAAACACTCTTCTTTTCCTTATTAGGTTTCCCGAAAAGAAAGTGAACCCAGAAACCCCAAAGAAGAGAGAAATAGAATATGGGTAACGTTGAAAGAGATTTTATAACAGGTCTGAAGTCTAAAACAAAGGAAGGGGTGGAAAAGGTCGCATCTTTATGGGATTACTCCCGGAGATCTGGTTGAGAATACGTTGAAATAGAGAGAGAGAGGGGGGAGGGTTGGGTGGTGGAGTTGTAAGTATTTGGGGGTGTGAATGAGCTGGCCAAAGAGAAACAATTAAACAAATGTCGTGGGGCGAAGGGAGTGTTGTTGAGAGAGAGAGGTTAAAAGCTTAGGTGCTACTTGCATGACATGATATGACATGACATTGAGGGACGGAGAGAGATGAGCTTCGGCTTTCGGGGTCAGGAGCCTTTGGTTTATTGTTTATTGAAACTAGTGTCGCCCGACTTCACATTTATATACTAATCTATTTCCCCTTTTCTTTTTCTACTGCAATTGCAATTCCTTTTTCTTTTTTTCTTTTTACAGTGATGCAACAATTTCACTGTGCCTCTTCATTTCTGCATTGCGTCATACTGCCTTTATAAATTTAACTCATAAGCCACTCCACTACCTTCCTTTTTTTCCTTTCACTTTTCCTATATAGAAATTAATGATTCTTTCCTTCCTTCATGTGTTTAATCCCATAATTTTATCTATTTTCATTGAATTTCATGATAGAAAATTAGCTAAACTACATACTTAATTACTTATATAATTTTCTTTTGACATTTAAATATTTTTTTCTTTTAAAATTATATCTAAAATTTTATTTTTATTACGACGTAATTAATCACATATCATTAAAAAATAACATAATTACCGACAATATTTTTATTTGTCTCAATGATGATGTAATATTTACTTATTACGATACATCAACAGCATTGTTAATATTTTATAAACAAGTGATTAAAATTAAACCAAAATATAATATTAAATATAATTTTAAATAAAAAAAGTCGAGTGACAAAAACAAAGCCTCACAAATATATAGTTTATCCTAAAATATGATATATTTTTTAAAAATAATATCTTTGAGTATTGCTTAGGTCTATTTAACTATAAGATAGCCGAAGGTCTCTCAACTTGGATAAAAGAACGATGTAAGTGCATTTAATAAGAGTACAAATAATACATTGAATGTAATGCAGAGAAAAAGTACACCGAATATGCTTGGTTAAGGCTTCATACATGAATTTGTTAAACACTTGCAGATATTGGAATACACTGCCGAGTTCGACTCTTGCTGGACTATCACTAGTAAGTTTAAACTACTTTTGACCGGCCAAATTTGTAATATGAGAAAAATAAATATTAATTTTTTATTAAATTAATGGTGATTATAAAATAATATATGTTATAAGTATTCTTAATCATTTGAAACGTTCAATCACTCTTATAGGCGCTAATGCTATAACTTATGATCTCTAGGAAAAATGATTTTTTTTAACCACTAAGGTAAGTTGATTCGTGTAAATCAATATTACTTTAGAACAATCCTTTAAAGATTACTATAATTAATCCTTTATGGTGCGTTTGGTTCACGGAATGTAAGATTATCAGTGAGAATAAAAGATTACCAGGGAATAGGATTACTGGGAATGTTGTATTTTGTGTTTGGTTGGTTTAGCAGGAATGTAAAATTACCGTGTTTGGTTAAAGGAATAAAAGATTATTAGAATGTATATTTGACCAAATTGTCCTTATTATATATTTGTATAATATTACAAATTGTAAAATATTTATATATTTTCTTTAAAAAATTAAATTCATAATATTTATATTTTTTTTTCAAAATTAAAAATATAAAAAAGGTTTAATGAAAGGGTAAAAAAAAATTAACCCCTGAACTTTATGTAAAATTTTAATTATAGATTTTTTTTGTATAAATCTAAAATAATCTAAGGATAAATTTGTAATTTAACCTTCGTATAATTTTTATTATTCAATGACAGAAGAAGGATATTTTTGAAAAAAAATAAAAATTTAAGGGCATTTTAGTCCAAAACGCCGGTAATGTTACAATACCTAAGAGAAGGGAGATAATGACATTCCCGGTAATATACCCAAAAAAATCTACTATTGGTAATAAAACATTACCGGGAATAAGATTCTCGGCCAACCAAACATAAAAATGTAAGATTCTCATCCTACAATCCTCGAACCAAACATCCCAAGTTTGAGCGGTGAAATTCCGTATTACTGCTTTGCAGTCACCGCAAATGAAGTAAAAATCAAAGGTCGAGTGGCAAATAACATTTTAGAAAAAAGAAGAAAGGAGGCCAACAATGAGTCATGGAAATCATTCCGACATTCCATGTCTCCAATGAAAGGAAACAAAAGGATCTTTACCTGTAATGTTTCTTTTTCTTCCCCTTTTGTGTGTATGCAGCTTTTCACTATGAAAGCATCCATTATCTGTTTAGTGTTTATTGGAAAATTATTGTTGGCAGCTGGCATTTCAACCGGCTGAGTGATTGGTGAAATTGGACTTTGTAAATTCTTATGTGTCGACGCAGGATCAATCCATGTCGTCTCTTCATTACGATTTACCCAAATGCAAAACTAAATCTATCATCGTGACGGTGAATACTGAATAGTGGCCTCAAACACGAGGTTTCATTACCACCGTGGTTAGAAGGTAAGATCTGCTTATACAAATAAGTTCTACAGCTCTCGTCGAACAGTTAATGATGAATATTATTAAATTGATTTATAAAATATTAAATTATAAATTATTAAATGTATAATTAGAAATTAGTTAAAAATTTAAATATAATTTAATTAAAATATAATATTTATAAAACATTAGTTTTTAGGGTAAACTATATAATTTACCGCCTAGCTATTTACCCTTTTACTTTAACTATCGATTTTTTAATTTTGTCAATTGGGTCACCTAACTATTTAAATCTTATCAATCAAGCCGCATGTCGTTAAATATTAACGGAGGAAATGATGTGGTAGTTAATAAAATTTGTATAATTACACATTTAGTCCTCATTACTTATACATTCTATTAATTTGGTCCTAACTTTTATTTAATTCAATAAATTTAATCCTCATGAATCACTATGTGATTGAATGTTTTTTTCTTAATATTTCTATTTAATTTAATAAATTTTCCATCCGATCAAATGGTGCCACATGTCACCAATTGAATGAATAGAAAATAAATTGAATCAATAACCGCAATTGGTAGGGAAAAAGAAAACGCCCCAACCACTAGGCTACACCATTTAAATGAAAAATTTATCACAACATAATATATATAGTTAATGGTGTAATAAAAAAAAGGGAAATGACATAATAAGAACATCAACATGGAATATTTGAATAATACGTTAATATGATACATATACACAAATATTATGACTAATTAATATGTGAATGTATTTTATTTATATTTTAAATCATTTTAATGAAAAATATAAAATAAAAAAATAATTTTAATATTTTATAATTGAAATATAACGAAGAGCTTCGTTGACATAAAATTTTTCTTATAGTTGAAGGCTTATCGTAATAAACATTTTAACTTATGCACTGACTTATTTATATCCCGTTAGAGTAAGAATTTTATATTTTATTATTTATTCATTATATATTTGAAGAAAATTTTAGGGTAAACTTGATTTTATTGAATTAGTATATTTTAATATAGAGTTGTTAAATAATATTAGAATCCGATCGATGTTATAATATTTTAAAATATAAAATATGATACATTTCAATTCAATAAAATTAGAATAATGAAGACAATTTATTAATTTAAAATATGTAAAATGATATATTTCAAGTATAACATATTAAATTCACTTTTATTTTAAATTTTGCATTGAATATGATTTAAAAAAAATAAAAACACATTTATTTATTAATCAATTATAATATTTGTTAATATATATTATATTTTCATACTATTCAATTATTTCATGTTCGAGTCCTTATAATGTCATTTATTACCATTAACTATAAATTATATAGAGTATGTTCTGTATACTAGACTAATTTAGTGGTCTAGCTTAGTAGTTAGGGCGCATATTTTTTTCGGCTTGCGTCCTAGGTTCAAACCCCACCTGTTGCGGTTATTGATTTAATTTATTTTTCATTTATTCAATACGTGACACATGACATTATTTGATTAGATGAAAATTTATTAAATAAAAAAATCCAATCACACAGTGACACATGTCACCATCGTATTGAGGATTAAATTTATTGAATTAAATAAAAGTTAGGATCAAATTAATAGAATGTGTAAGTAATGAGGACTAAATGTGTAATTATATAAATTTTATTAATTGTCACGTCATCTCTTCCGTTAATATTTAACGACATGTGACTTGATTGATAATATTTAAATAGTTACGAGACCCGATTGACAAAATTGAAAAATCGGTAGTTAAAGTAAAAGGGGTAAATAGTTAGGTAGTCAATGATATATTTTACCCTAAAAACTAATGTTTCGTAAATACAATATTTTAATTAAATTACATTTATATTTTTAACTAATTTATAATTATACGTTAAATACTTTATAATTTAACATTTTGCAAATTAATTTAATGATGTTCATCATTAACAGTATCAATCCGTACTCGTTAAGCGTGGGAGAATTATTCTAATTTATTTCTTTTGGTTTAGGTAAAGAGTTATAGTTGTTAAAGAGACGAAGGTACAAAAGAGGAGATGAGAGTAAAAAGAAAAAAACTAACTTTTCATTTTGGTTGAGAGATTATTGTAGCAATCGTAATTAATGGCATGAAACATCAGATAATTACTCGTAGATTAACAGACTAAATATAATCATTTAGTTTTAGATTTCGTTATAAAAAATCATATTAGTTTGTTAGAGTTCTTAGTTATACATTCTAACTAACTTAGAGACTACAATACTCTATTAAAAAAATATGGATTCCTGAAAGTTTGTATAAATGAATGAGTTTGGATGTTACCCGGAAGGTATAACAATATTGAACATGTCTTAAGTTATAATTAAGATTTCTCCGGTGTAAATTCAAAATTTAAGGTAAATTTGCTGGTTGGCCGACAGCTTTCTCTCCAACTTTTCTGTGGTTTAATAACCCCATCATGACGGAGATGGTCCCTGTTACTTATCTTGTTATGGGTGTTGTCAAGCCTTCGATGGCTTGTGGTGTCCCGGGATCGGGCTTTTGAGGAGAGTTCAGCGTCGTTCATTGCACTGACCTTTTCGAATCGTGGTGGCCTTTGGTGGCTGCAGCTAAAGAAGGCATTCATGTCGCCGACCAAAGGGATGGTGCAA